ACTTGGAAGCGACGGCGCATCAAGTTTACGCATCGCCAGAAGCAAACCCCATTGGCATCATCAAACGGTACTGTTGCCGATGTCCATTCTATTGGGCTCCATCGACATCATCAAACATAATCACAAAGAGCACTAGCCTCCAACATCACGTCACACGAAGAAGAGCCTCCTTACGCTACTAGTCTGATCTCCGACGTCCCGTCTGCACAGTCATCGTGGCCATCCCTCGTGCCTCCCTAACAACGGTCAGAACTTGTGACAGGCGCCGCCGTGGCGATATTCCCTGCAGTCCACATTTGATTGCGTTTCGTTGGACTTGGCCATCCCCATGGCCCAGATCTAGGCTCCGTCCAACACGAGGGGTTTTTCTCTTTCACCACGACCCGCACAGCCCCCGCTGACACAACAAGACGTTGTTCGAAAGATCAGCGTTCAATGAATCCACCCAGCAACGGTCCAAACGTTCTCGCTCGCTGCCATGTTTCTTTCGTGTTGATTGTAATGCACATGCATGGGCAACATCGCTTGCGGAGCGACGACGTTCCGGCCGGAGAATCACCTCGGGCCGCTGGTCGTGGGCCCTTCCAAACGCCTCACCCGCAGTTTTTTCGTCCACAGTAAATGACACCCCCCAAGGGTACCTTGAGCAAACCGAGCCGCCTGGTGGGGCCGACTTGACCCGGTGGTTGCGCTCTTTCGACACACCCGGTGTTGCGCGCCCGAAGCGGCCGCCTGCTTCTGCACCCACCCCATGCAACGCGCTGCATCAAGGGACTGCGATTGAATCGCGGGGGTGGATGGTTGGAGCAGGCCGACGAGGAGGAGGCCGCCGATGATGGGGAGGGGGGGAGACCGACGTTTGGATGAGAAGCAACATGCTGTGTGAATCCTCATGTTGGCTGTCTACCAGGCGCCGGTTGGTCCTCACAGGCGCGACGTTCGATTCTCTGTGTGCCATGCGTCCGGGACGTTGAGCAGCGTAATTTTGACGTGTTCAGCAATCCCCTATGGCTACGAAGAGCAGCTGGTAAGCGCAAAGTCGATGAACTCGAAACCGATCCTTATCGTGAGCCCAAAATCCTCCCTCCTCCGCTATCCCCGCAGCATGCCTGCGCGCCCCCCCGCCGTCGACTCCAACGACGGCCAAGACGTCCAGCAGCAGATGGGATGCGCGGATACCCGGCAATGCATATCTTGGCAGTCACGCAGGACACGACATTCGCGGTTCTGCTTAGGTGCTCGCTTGTGACCTGCGTGGTTTGCGTTACGGCATATTTCCCCCTTGGCTGATGATCGTGGATCGTGAGGGGCACATGTATCCATGAGGGGTTTGCATCGGGGGGAGAGAGGATGAGGGGTTGACTGAATGGACCGAAATCACACGTTCATTTTCGAGAAGCCATGTCTCACTCACGCTTGTCACCTGGCACTGAAATGACATGATCCCGTCTCGGGCTCCCTGTTCGGTCAGAACTGTCGAGTACACGGGTCTCCGTTTGTCTACCAGTCTACCAGCCATCCTCGAGCCTCTCATTCCGTCACTCTCGAGGGTTTTTTTTTTAAAGCTAAGGTAGGCAATTTGATATTCACCCAGAGGTCTCGTCCACCCAGAGGCTGTGCAGCCTCATTGGCCCTTGGTTCAAACCATACATCACATGCATGTGGTGAACTGTATACCTTTTTTTTCCTGAACCTAATAATCTGGCACACCCGGCGAAGCCCTGTGCAAGACACCAACCCGATAAAAAAGCAGGTCCTGAGATTCCCCTCCGACAGAAACAGCAAATGGGGGGAAACCCGAAAAACAAACTTTCAGCTGCTGCATGGCTCTCTCATTTCAAGATGCATGTTTTTTCCCGCGTGGTGACATCGGCCGTGTTTTGCGGACCGACGCGCGAGCGGAACACCCCGCCCCTGCCCCTGGTGAACACAGTGGCCCGTTCTGATTTCCTCGCTCAAGATAGGTCGCAACGTCCTGCCGCGCAAGTAGAGTATGAGGGAATACTTGAACATCAATCTCACATGCTGCTTGAGAAAAACCTGATCCTGTTGTTCCATGTTCGTTTCCTTCGGGTGGCTAGACGTGGTGAGCCTCGCCGGGCCACATGCCGAGACTGTTCCCGCTGCCGGGCGATGGGAGAGGCCCTGCCTGGTGGACGCTCCGAGTAGGAGACATATCTCAGGGTCAAAGAGACATCTCGGAGGCAGGAGAAAGCTCGAATAGGGCATTCTTCACCGGTTCATCATGGTGTGTTGGTATACACGAAACCAAGCCTTCATCACAGGACTGAAGCAGCATACGATATTAACGCTTCATTGAGCTTTCACAGCAATCTACCATTTTCCAAACCCAGCATCAAACCATCATGCCGCGGCATGTACTCAGCCATCCGCCGTTCATATGCCTTACATCTTAGAATAACGCTTGAAAGCGCCAATGAGGCCCCCAGTCGAGGCATCGTGACCCTCGCCGTTGCCCTCCGCGTCGAGCTCGCCAAGAATTTTCTTGGCAAGGACCTTGCCGAGCTCAACGCCCCACTGGTCAAAGGAGTTGATGTCCCAAACGGCACCCTCGACGAAGGTGAGGTGCTCGTAGTAGACAATGAGCGCGCCGAGCTCGGCAGGGCCAATGTGGCCGCCGACGAGGATGGAGGTGGTGGGGCGGTTGCCGAGGAAGACCTTATGGGGGACAAGGTCTTCAGGAGTGCTGCCCTCGGCACGGACCTCGTCAGCCGTCTTGCCGACCATGAGAGCCTCAGCCTGGGCAAAGTAGTTGGAGGCAAGCATCTTCTGGTGCAGGTTGTCCGAGATGGGGTTGTGAGACTTGGCAGCGAGGATGAAGTCGGTGGGGATGAGCTTGGTGCCCTGGTGGACAAGCTGGAAGAAGGAGTGCTGGGCGTTTGTGCAGGGCTCGCCGAAGAGAATGGGGCCTGCGCTGTCAGTGGCCCGCCTATCGCCCAGCAGGGGAGTTGGTAAAGAATAGACTCACCAGTCGTGTACTTGGCAGGAGTGCCGTCAGAGGTGATGCTCTTGCCGTTGGACTCCATGGACAGCTGCTGGAGGTAGGCGGGGAAGCGGTGCAGATACTGGTCGAAGCTGGCAGCTTGTTAGCTTGGCACACCCGGCCGGAATCGACAGACGTACGGAGCCACCAGATGGGTCTGGGCCTGGAAGAAGTCAGAGTACCACACACTCAAGAGACCACCCAGCAGGGGGATGTTCTCCTTGAGGGGCGTCTCGCGGAAGTGCTTGTCCATGGCGTGCGCGCCGCCGAGGAACTTGTAAAAGTTATCAAAGCCAATGTACAGCGCAACGCTGAGGCCGATGGCGCTCCAGACAGAGTAGCGGCCGCCGACCCAGCTCTCGAAGCCGAACATGTTCTTGGTGTCAATGCCAAACTTGGAGACCTCAGCCTCGTTGGTAGACAGAGCAACAAAGTGCTTGGCAATCTCGCCCTTGCCGCCGGTCTTCTCAAGGAACCAGGTTTTGGCCGTGTTGGCGTTGGTCGTGGTCTCGGCCGTGGTGAAGGTCTTGGAGGCGACAAGGAAGAGGGTGGTCTCGGGATCAGACGCGGCAAGGGCCTCAGCCATGTGGGTGCCGTCAATGTTGGAGACAAAGTGCAGAGTCGTGTCCTTGGCGCCGTAGTGCTTGAGAGCCTCGGTGACCATAACGGGACCGAGATCAGAACCGCCAATGCCAATGTTGACAATGTTGGTCAGCTTCTTTCCAGTGAAGCCGGTCCAGGCGCCGGAGCGCACCTGCTCGGAGAACTCCTTCATGTGTTCGAGAACGGCGTTGACGCCGTTGGGGCCGTTCATGACGTTGGCACCGTCCACCTGCATGTCCCAGCCGCCAACGTTGCGCAGAGCAGTGTGGTAGACAGCACGCTTCTCGGTGAAGTTGATCTTCTCGCCGGCGAACATGGCATCGCGCTTCTTCTCGACCTCGGCCTGCTCCGCCAGCTTGACCAGCAGGTCAAGGGTCTCCTCCGTCAGGAAGTTCTTGGAGAAGTCGAAGAGGATGTCGGTGCCTTCGGCGGTGGCGAAGGTGCGAGAGAACTTGGCAAAGCGCTCAGGGTCGGAGGCGAAGGCCTCCTTGAGGACAAAGTTCTTGCCGACATTGTCGCGGTGGGCTTGAAGGTCGGCCCACGCGGGGAGGGAGGAGGCTTGAGGCATTTTGAAGGGGAAGGATTGCAGGATAGGTCTGAAGAGCATAAAGGTCAGCTGGGGTTCCTGGCAGTGAAAGAGGAAGGGCGGAAATTCAGAATTTGAAGTCGTGATTCTGAAGACGTCGTCGGGGACAAGCCGTGGGGAGGCCGAGTTGGAGGGGCAGCCACCAGCCGCAGAAACCGGAGATGCAGGGAACAGATAACAGACATCGCCCGCGTCGAGCTCCGGCAGCGGAGCGTCATCAAATCAACCCTCGATGTAATTTCCCATGTCCCCCTTTGGCGACTCCTGCTGCCGAAGCAAGACGATCTGTGGATTGTCGGGTCTCGAGGCAAACCGTGTTTGTCTGCACCAAGCTGCACCGAGCTCGAGCATAGCGGGGTCGTGCGCGCGAGAGGCAGAGCCTATGCGTGGATATGACGAAGGACAATAACGAAGCTCCAGAGCAAAGCAGAGAAACATAGACAGAGCAAGGAGACCTGGGAGTAGACAAACCTAATTGCGATTGAACCGTGTAAAAATTAGTGATGCCCTCGGGATGCAACTTGTTGGGGGGTGACACCAGGTTTTGTTGAAGGGCGACGCAAAAGGTGGGATGTCTGGAAGGTCGAGGTGGAGGAGGGGTGACTTTGCTGGTGAGGGGCAGACAAGAACATCAATCAGCCGGCGCCGGGACAGCACATAGAGCGAGCAGCGTCATGGTCGTGACAAGGGGGCCTACCTAGCCTTAGATGTGCGCCTGCCCCGCGGCACTGGTCCACTATCCCTACCTCACAGGTACCTCCCCCGAGCTCTCCCACAAAGCTGCTATAGGGCGCTTCGTTCGGTACCTTAGTAGGTTGGTAGCGGGCAGTCATTGTGCACAGAGCTGCCCTGTGAGTGACATATGGGCCCCCGCCCCGCCCGCTTCTGGCCGAGGCCGATCCACTCGGCGTCTCTTCCAGCGAACTGGGTGGTGCGCTTGGGAACTTCCGACCTGGGGCAGTGGATGATTTGTTAGTCTTTTTTTCTCGTTAGTTCTCAGGCGCTGGGCTGACTGAGCCAAATTCTCTCAAAGCGCTCGAAGTCGACGATGGGTGTTCGGTTGGAACCCCGGACTTCTACGGCGATGCTCACTGGATGATGCGATCACCGTCCGGAAGAATTACTACAGTCCTCCTTCTCTTTACGACATGAACATCTCAGCTTGGTGTCACCAGCAACCACCTCTGGATTTGATCTTGCCCCGTCAACCCCGTCAACTTGTATTGATGCTCTCACCTACAACGCTGACGAGCCGGGCACGTGGCGAAGGGGCCCTGGACCGTGGGGGTCATGTGTACATGTTGATGGGGGTCAAAGTGTGCTTGTTCATCGGGAGAAGTAGGGAGTTTGAGCACTCGCGGCAGATCTCTCTCTCGCATGTGCATGTCCTCTTCTGCTCTGCTTTGCTGTTCGTGACCGGCTGCTCGCCAGGCGCCTCCGTTTTCGGGGGGCAGCAGCTGCGGCGCCGCACCTCGTCTACATGGATAAAACCACACGCAGCTGGTCCCTTGCCCCTCTCACACCCCAAGTCAGCAAGATATGCCCTTTCCCAAACGCCAAACACAAGGCCGGGGCCAGACAAAAATAAGTGTTGCATGTAAGAGCTGCGATCCTCTTCCTCTGTCCGCATGCCCTCTTTCGCCCCTGTCCCTCGTCTTCAATTGTTGCCGTGTCCACTGCTGCTGATCGATCTATCGGTTGTCCTGGACACTGCCGACAAAGGACGGATCCTTGATGCTGCCGCCTGCGTCGCCGAGGCCTGCAATCGGCCGGTTGTAGCTGAAGCCCTGGAACTGGTTCTGCATCGTCTGTGAAAGCATCGGTCCATCCACAAACGAGTCTTGCGGGGCTTCGTTCGTGAATTCGGGATCAAAGTTGTTTGTGTCCAGAGCATCCACCTGAAAGTCTCTTGTCAGCAATGCGTCCTCCCATGAGACAGAATCTGCACTACGCGGAGGGGGGGGGGGTGTCGGTGGTTGAACTCACAACGCTGGGCTTGAACGCTGGCTCGTACTTGCGCTGCAGCAGCTTACGCCAGTCAATGGCGTGGAAGAAGGGGTGCGCCTTGATCTCGGCCGAGCCATTGGCTCCAAGGCGCTCTTCCGGCTTACGGTTGAGCAGCTTGATGAGAAGGTCCTTGGCGGCAGGAGGCACAATGTCGTGGCCGGGGAAGTGAAGCGGTTCCGACAGAATCTTGCGGTACATCTCGTTGGTGTTCTCGTCATAGAAAGGAGGCAGACCCGTCAACATCTCGTACAGCAGAACTCCGAGGGTCCACCAATCCACCGTCTTCTGGTAGCCCTGGCCCATGAGCAGTTCAGGCGCCAGATATTCGGGGGTACCGCAGAATGTGTTGGTCCTGTCTTCGTCCTTCATGTCCAGCTTGCAGAGACCGAAATCGCACAAGGCAATGTGACCTTGGTAGTCGAGCAGAATGTTCTCCGGTTTCAGATCGCGGTAGATGACGTTGAACCCGTGGAGGCACTCAAGGGCACAGAGCAGTTCTGCAGTGTAGAATCGCGAGCGATTTACATCGAATCGCTGCTCCTTCTGCAGGTGGTGAAACAGTTCGCCACCGTTGATGAAGGCGAGCACGAAATACAGCTTCGCAGGTGACTGGAAGGTGAATTTGAGGGGGACGATGAAGGGATTGTTAATCTGTGCCAGCACCGACCTCTCTGCCAGCGTGTGTGCGACTTCGGATCGGGAGATGATGTGTGCCTTGCGGATCGTTTTCACGGCGTAGATCCGGTGGGTGTCCTTCTTGCGAACCTGCATGACCTTGCCGAAGCTTCCCTTACCTACCAGCTTGAGCAATTCAAAGTCCTCAATCTGAAGCTTGCCGGCACGATTCTCGACATACTCAACGCCAATCTTGAGCTTGCCAGTGCCATATTGCACATCGGTCCACTGGACTCCGCTGTGTCCGAGGCTCCTCTCGCGATTGGCATGGTCAGCAGCGGCCGACTCGCGGTCCTTCTTGCTGGCTTTGGGGTCTTCGACAAACGATTGGCGCTCTTCGAAACGAGGGTTGATACGGACGACGCCAAGGAAGATATCCTGGCTGCGACCGGAGCCTGGTGCCGCCAAGGGTTGCGCATGTAGAGGTGGATGCCGAGCTCGGTGACACGCGACACATCGAACTTGTACTGCGTG